ATTTATTTAAAAATATGATTCCCACACGATTTTTTTGTATCGAGCACTATTTTTAAAATAATAACAAAAAATACTAAAGAACTTTTGAATTATTTACCTAACGAGTTCTTTCCTATTTTCTATATATTTTCACACACACACACACACACATATATATATATATATATATATATATATATATATATATATATATATATATAATGACCTTTTGGGGCCCCAGTCTAAAGAAATATGCACCCCACTTGACGCAAGGCAGTCTTTCTTTTTCTCTTTATTTTGCCTTAAATAGTAGTACGATTAATTAATTTAAAGTCTTCAGTGTTACATATAAGGGAGACAACTGCTACACGCCGTTTTTGCCAATTGAACAATTTCAAAGCACTTCTTTTTTTTTTTTTTTAATGCTTATACGAAAATTACAATGTCTTTGTTCCAACTGGGATTTTGTAAAAGATATTCCAGACAACCTCATATCAGCTTTCCAGCTGACATGCCACTCACAGACTCGACATTGCCGAGAATACTTTTGGGGGTTATAGAATTCAACCCTATGATTTATCATACCGTTGAGGGCAAAGGTCACTTTCTTTCAGAGATGCAACGAGGCGAATAATTACCCGTTTTTACATAGACGAATACTTGTGAACGGAATAACAGTCAAGCGGCAATTTTAAATATCAGAAAGACGAAACAATCAATATTTAACTCGAAAAGTTTACAAGTAAACAAATGTACTCGATTTTTTTTAATCAACTTACCCCAAGAAAGGTGATAATGCTACTAAGACGCAAGAAGATGCTAGAAGTGAATTATGATGATAATACTTTAGAAAGAACAGGAGACATAATCCTAAACAGGAAACAATAGATAAACATCTATGTGATGAGCCGAACGATAGGCGAATCTATCTACTTATATTGATGAAAAAAATGAATAATCAGTAAATACAATTTCACAGTTTAGGCAGATACCCATGTAGAGTATATATCTGAATAGAGCTGAAGTAGGTTTTAGAAGGAACCGGAAAACTAATCCCAATCAGGAAGTAAAGGAAAAGCCTCTACTCCTTTTCAAAAGGCCGAGAGATGTGTGACTCGAACGATAGGCGAATTTATCTACTCATATTGACGAAAAAGAACTAAATAATCAGTAAATAAAAGTTCACAGTTTAGGCGGATACCTATGTAGAGTATATATATACCTGTATAGAGTTGAAGTAGGTTTTAGTGGAACCGGAAATCATCAGGAAGTGATGGATAAACCTCTACTCCTTTTCAAAAGACTGAGAGGTGTGTGAACCGAACGATAGGCGAATCTATCTACTCATATTGACGAAAAAGAAATAAATAATCAGTAAATAAAATTTCACAGTTTAGACGTTACCTATGTAGAGTATATATCTGGATAGAGCTGAAGGAGGTTTTAGAAGGAACCGGAAGCCCAATCCCAATCAGGAAGTAAGGGATAAACCTCTACTCCTGTTCAAAAGGCCGAGAGGTGTGTGAACCGAACGATAGGCGAACTTATCTACACTAGGAGCAGTTTGTATAGCTGAAGTTAAGATCCATAATGAAATTCGGCATCTTAAGCTCAAATTTGAATTCAGTTTAAACAGTGATAATCTAACAGATTTTGTACCCATTTTTTCGGAAAACTGTAAAGTCAGGTCGGATTAGGATTAACAGTCGAAATGATTATGATGAATGACGTGTGTGATATGAATAGAAGAGAAGTTTGAAGGAAGCGGAAGGACCGTCTTCTTCTACGTTCCGTGTCCCTTCAGGACGTGGACAATTATGGCTCTCCACAATTTTCTATCCTTTGCAACTCTTAGTAAATTTTGTCTTTTCGCCATCCCTCCCAGTCCTTGTCCTTACACAAGTATGTGAGGTAGAGTAATCGCGGCTTTCCTCTGTTCCTTTTGACCGGGAGGTGTATGAACCGGACGATAGGCGAAACTATCTACTCCAGGATGAGGTTGTAGCGCCGAAGTTAAAATCCATAATGAAATTCGGCAACTTCAGTTCAAATTTCAAAATTCAGTTTAAACAGCGATAATGTAATAGATTTTGTATCCATTTTCTCGAAAAACTAGAAAGTCAGTTTCGATTAGGAATACCTTTCACGAGATAAAGTATTCATAGTAATCTTTCCTTTACGAAATATCACCCAATATCATGAGAGAGGCGTTCAAGGTAGAGAGTTACACTCGAAATGATTATGATGAATGAGGTGTGTGATATGAACGGAAGAGAAGTTAGTGACAAGCGGAGATAATAAGGATCTTCTTCTTCTTTTTCTTATTATTATTTCTTCTACGGGATGTGTACCTTCAGGATGTAGGCGATGATGGCTCTCCACAAATTCCTATCCTTTGTATTAAATAATAGTTGCAAACTATTATTTTTTTTATTTTTTTGTGGCAGTGTATTTTTGCTCAGACCTTCTGATGATGACTTTTAAGGTCAGATGGTAGACAAAATAGGGAGGTCGATTTTGATTGGCTGAGCCGAACGTGGGAATGTTAGAGAGATAGAAAGTGATTTCAGGGAGTTAAGTTTTTACACGTCATACCCAGCAGACTTGGTTATTTCGTGTCTCGGGAAACTTGCTCACCAGTGTGGGTGATTGAGCGACCCCACTGGCTAGTTAAAAATGCACACGTCGACGTGCTTAATAAAATAGATAAGTTTAAAATCCTTTTTGTTGATGTTCTCATTTTACCTCCGAACTAAAAACCAACTAGCGATCACCCGGCCGAGAGAAGAAAGGGAGGAAGACAGCTTTATTATGATCGCCTCAAGACCGTCAGCTAAAAGACTTAGGACGAGCTGGGGTGGCTATACATCATTTTGCTTATTTGGCGCAGTGGCCAAGTCCTCTTCAGAAAAGAGGAAATATGCAACATTTGTAGCTCTTAGTAAGCTTTGTCTTTTCGCCATCCCTCCTTCTCTGTTCTGATTTGCACAAGCTCATTAGATATGTTGCTCACTGTTTTTTGTCCCTCTTGCCTTCAATATGTGTTAAATTCTACAATTCCTCTTTCCTCATTATCTGTCCTTTATTTTAATTTCCGTGTCTGCTATCAAGCCTCAGTTATCTGCATATATTATATTCAGATTATGGTCAACAATAAAATATCCTGATAGGATTTCTAATTCTAAAAACTTCCTCGTTACTCACATGTTCAGTCCATATGATTCTCAGCATTGTTCTATGGAACCACATTTCTGTCGCCTCAAGAAAAGATTAACTTATGACGTGCAATGGTTATGATTGTATTGTTCATGGAAGTATCCATGTGGAAATCTATTTCATTGCAGTTCTTGTGAGGTGTGGAGCTGTCAGAGTAGAACTTTTGTTTTAACATTTGGTACTCGGTAGAAATGATTCTGACTCCTTTGAATAACATGGCGTGTCCCAGAAGTAAAGGTCTTAACTAGTGGAACTACAGATTGGAAAGTTTCTTAACTTTTGCCATGGAAACAGTTTGAAACTTTGTGTTTCTGACAAAGAGGTTGAAGAATAGGAATGTCGTCCCACACAAAACTGCGTAAACGATTGTGAACTCTGCCAAGGCTGAAAAATGCCCAGCAATGGTATTTCCTTGAAAAGATGGCCTGACGGTGCCCAATCCTCACCAGACTGTTTTGAATTAAGAGTATTCCTTCTCCAAAACTGTTTGCCAACCAAGGCTATACAATGCAGTCTGTCCTGCTGTTTATCCATAGCTGCCGGTAGAAGGGATATATTCAAACTTTTCCCACATACGTTAATGTAATGAATTCGACTGGAATTTAAAATCGGCTCTAGATCCGAGGCGCTACCCTTTACTCCAAAGGTACAACTGAGCGTGAAAGAATCTAAGAAAAAACAAACATTATAAGAGAGAGAGAACAATAAAAGAACAGAAATTAAGAAAACAGAGGATTGGCATTCCATTTACATTTTTGAAGATCAAAGTTGATTGGAGAAGTGTGAGAGAAGAAACTGTTAGCATAGTGTTATGGGAACTTGCCCATAATAACATAATGGACTATGCCATACGTAATAAATACTGCGCCTCAAGAGGAAGCAGGGAGTTCCGCCCGAAGTCAGGCGACCGGCTGATCGGTTGAACTCTCTGCCTTCGGGCGGGGAGGAACCCGAAGGAGGCTACGCCGAAGGGCGGATTCTCATTCGGGGAGGTAAACTGACCCTGAACCCGTTTATACGGGTTCAAAGGGCATATTTTTGGCCGAGCCCACGGGCTGTGAGATCCCACGTTAAACCGGCCTTGTGCCACATGATGCCCTCGTGGGGGGGGGGTTAAATACTGTTCACTCTGAAGTCTGGAGTGAAGTCCGTCAGGAATCAGTCAGTCAGTCAGAGCGAGCGAGTCAGTCAGTCGAGTCAGAGGCAGTCCGAAACAGAGTCGCGTTCAGACAATTACTACTAAACCTGAATGTTCGCACTAACCCTTTCTACTTCTCTGGATATATTCCTGTTTGTAATATATTCGAGTTCTTCTTTATTGGTTCTACCTTGGACTATCACCGTGGTACAAAGAACCGTACCATAACACATAGAATTTATAGTTACATCTCTTAATTTTAACTTTAAAATGAGGTCTAGCTGCCAATCTAGTATCGCGATTAGATTCCTAAAGCCTAGTTACCAAAGTGGAAATCTCATCAGAACAATTACCAGAGAAATATTAATAGAAAAAGCAAAGGGAACTTATGTTTTTTCATTACAACTACGCAGAACGTGAGTCTATGACTGTGTATACGTAGCGCAGATAAAAAAAAAATCAAGCCGTACCCGCATCACTCTTGCTTCAATAAGCCGCTTTTTGCTAATGGTCGCTCTACCACTAGAGCCTTGAGAGGTGTTACGGACGGCAAAAGATTAAATCGAACCATTAAAAACCATTATCATTACTCGATTGCCATATTTGGTATTGCTTTTACAGACAAGAATCGTCTCACAATCCTTTGCCTAATAAACCATTTCAAGTTATGACTACTGTCAATATTATTAATGTTTATTCTATTCACGATTTCGCAATATTTTTCTTCTCAGTCTCTTCTCTTCAGACACCTTTCTTTCTTCATTCTCTTATTTCTGTCTTTCTCCTCTATCCAACTCTTCTTTCCTTTCTTTCTCTCTCTCTCTCTCTCTCTCCTCATTTTTTCAACTCCGTCTTTTTCTTTTCTTCTAGTTTGTTTTCACTCTCTTTTTCTTTATCTCCCTTCCCTCTGCTGCTCCTCTGTTCGCTTTTTCTCTTTCCTCCATTTTTCCAATCTTCCCACCTTCCCTTCTATTTTTCTTTCGCGACTCTCTCCTTGTTCCCTGTTTCTTCTGTTTACTTTCCTTCTACGTCGTCTTTCCTTCACCACCCTCTCATCGTTCTCCTCTCCTTCTTCGGTTCTCTCTCTCTCCCTTTCTTTTTGTCCCTCTCCCTTCAATCTCATGTATTTGTTCCTTCCCCTCGTTCTCCCTTCTTTGATGCATTTCCTTTTTTTCTTTCTTTACCCATCTTTTTTTTCCTTTCCCTCTTTCTTCTTCAGGCTTTCTTCCTTTTCTGCTTTTCTTCTTCTCTACCACCCATTTTCTTAGTTCTTCTATTTCTTTTCATTCTTCCCATCTTTTTATTCATCACTCTCAATTATGGCTACTCTATCCCTATCGCTCTCTTTCTTCTTATTTGTCCCTTCCTCTCTTTCTCTCTCTCTCTCTCTCTCTCTCTCCCTTGCTTCCTCTGTTTTTTCCTCTCTTCCGCCTCAACGTTTTCGCCCTTGTCTTTTTCTTCTCCCTCTCTTTTCCTACTATTCTCTGTTTGTCTTGTCTTCCGTACTTCTCTTTCCTTAAATCCATTTCTAACTTTTCTCCCCAACCGAGCAATATTCTAAAACCATAGCACTGAATGACACTGAATCGCTGTTAGCAAGTTTTAAAGTTAATGAATGTAACTTTTTGCTTCATTTCTTTTACCCACAATGCCCCATTCTATCCGCCTTAAAGACCGTATGCGTGAGAGAGATAGAGAGGAAACACATGTAAAGAGAGACTCTCTGTGTGTAAAATTCACCGGTGTACTCAACACTGAATGGCGTCTTTTGTGTGGAGGGAGCATTGATTTCACAAAGCCTTTTCTGCATCTTTAAAAACTCTCCATTATTGGCAATGTGCATTGCTTTTGGGCCGGCTTTTGAAATGAACACATACAAATAGCAGCACGGAAATTCACTTCTATCCTGACTTAAATGAGTTCTGACGAAGTATTTAAATGACTTTATACAAACCCACCAAACATTTAAAGTACCTATCCTGTAGTGTCGTTTAGAGAATAATACATTGTTTAAAGAATTTACAAGCTCCTTTCTTCAAGATACATTTCCAAATTCTCCCTCGCGATTTTGTGCTCTCCCTCTCTCTGGCTCTCTCTCTCTTTCTCTCTCTCTCTCTCTCTCTCTCTCTCACACACACACACACACACACACACACTTCTTATTATTATTCTTCATAAACGAATTTACCTCTGACCCCATTAGCTAATTTTTTTGATTCTTGGTAAACCTTCTAAGATGTGCTTTCAAACTGGTCTACTTTTTAGTGTGATTGGCGCTACATGTTCTTTTTCTTCTTTACTTACATACTTTATTTTTATGTGCACATCCGGGGTTTATATGTAACGGCCATCAGTGAAAAAAGCGATACCGACTTGGTCTAATTTTAACTGGGTATGTTTTATTCATATCGCCCTAATACCCTTGGAAATTGTACTGATCCCCCAGCTATAGGTTAAATAGCGAACTGGGTAACTTTTCCATGGATGGAAACCAGTTCAGGAGAAATAATAACTGTGAATTCACGCCCCAAAAAAGTGATAATGCAAACTAGCCTTTTTAGCCTTCGTAGGCATCCGGTCTACGAGAATGACAACGTCGAATTCAAAATCGAGATGGATTCTTCTTATACATCAAAACACGCACAGTGCAGCTACGGCTGCAGTAGGACCTTACTTATGAGAAAAAAATATATTCAGTAATTATATCATTCGATTAACATGAGCATTTTCTTGATTTCGGATTAAAAATTGAAGATTTTCCGGTGCAATTTTCACTTTTCAAAATTATGATTATACTTCAGAATGAAAATTTTTTGCCTCTTCTGCTGGTAGATTAGCTTTGAATTCCGACAACACAGAGTATCTGTGTTTGATTCTGGTCGATTTTGTTTATTATCACCACTATGAGATTATATTTAATGCCGAAATTTAAATAATTCTATGGTCTCAACTAAATCTGTTTTAAACGCTATTGTATGCTTTCAGCTACAGATAAAATATATTGTTGGTCATTTTGCTATACAATGTATTGTTGGTAAATCTACTATAAATGTACTGTTGATAATTTTACTACAAATATGTATTTTTGTCAATTTTTTATATAAAGATGTACTGCTGGTATTTTTTACTATAAAATCTATTTTTCTACTCTCATAGTGTTTTGTTTTTGTCTTTAAGTTCACTATTTTCCATTGCTGGTACCCTAACACCCCGGGTCTGTGTGGAGCTGCGAATAACAATTAAGAGATGGTTCCACGCTCCTCAAAAGCTCCAATCTCCCAATCAGAGGCCTTGGTGTAGCTCGGGTGTAAACTTAAAAGGGTAATATCCATACAGAGCCAAACTGAATAAAAAAAAAACGGCAGCAGGTACAATTGAATAATTATTTTTATCTATTTTTTTAATCATTTCACTCTATTTAAGACGGGAATGCTACAAGCACACAGGGGGTTACAGGAAGTGAAAGTGAAAGTGAATAGAAAAAACTGTATATAAGGAGGATTATACAAAGAAATAAAGATTAACCCGGTTAACGAAGACAAAACATGGCGATTGATTTTGGATTTACAATTTTGAAGACTGTAGTTATCAGGGAAGCAAGTAAACGGGAGAGAGTTTCACAGACGGGAAGCACGAGAAAAGAAACTGTTGGAATAGAATTGGCGGTTAAATTTTACTATTTTAACGGTAAAATGGTGGAACCTTGATGCCAATAAAGTAGCACGGTTAAAGTCATGTATTCGGGGCACCAGTATTTGCCATGAAGTTATTTGTAGAAAAGACAGAGGGAAGCCACTTCACGTCGGTAAGAGTGTATCTGAATTCGACATGCCTGGTCAGGATCGATTTCATTACAGATACTTTATATATATTTTTTAAGAATCTCGAAATGTACAACAGGAGCACCAGATTAGAAACAGATTTTCGACAAAACAAAATATTACCAGCAATAAAAAATTTTGTCGACATTAAATAACCCATTGAGGTTGATATGCCGTAAAACAAAATAGACCAAACCAAACCAAACCAATAAAACATGGCGTAAATGTCACAGCTTAACTAGCTAATGGAGATGAACATGCTCTTCAATTCATAATTACGGTGCATCTATCGTCCGATGGCCACTTGCAGCTGGGCAATGCACTGTATTACAAATTAAAAATAGTGTTAGCTTGATCCATTAAAATACGGAAATGATTTTTCTGTGTTCAGTTATTCTCTACATTCAATATCAATCCATATAGCAGGTATGGAATGTGGTGGAAAAAAAAGATTCAGATCCTAGTGGCGCAGTCGACCAATCTAGAACAATTGTGCGGTACCATGATAACAGCATGGACCCAAATCTCGAAAGATTGCTCCCAGAATATCGCCGAATCCATAACAAAAATATCTGAGGCGATTGTAAAGACAAATTCTGGATACAACTGAAGATTATGCGTAATAAAAATTATCGGTGATTTTCAGTACATTTTTTACTAACTTTCACCCATACAAAGCCCAAGAATCACTTAATCTACTGAGTGACTGTATGAAGTTGTATGAACGTAAGAGAATGCTGAAGTGTTGTTTATGAGGTTATATAGGAGAGTTCTTATTTATATCCTTTTAGCAGACAACAATAAAAGGATTTGTCTTGCATATGCTACTTCCTTTTCCCTTCTAAACGTGCGCAATCAAGACTCTTTACAATTTTCTAGGTCTAAGCAATGTTTGTCTGCTTACTCTCCCTCCCTGTCCCTTTTCTGCCATCCATTTAAACAAGCTTACTGCTTCTCATTGCTTCTTCAGCATTCATTATGCCCTGGAAGTGTCTAATTCTCCAAGCCCTCTTTCCTCGTGATGTGTCCAAGAAATGTGAACTGTCTCCTTCTGATACTAAATATAAGTTTACTTGCAGTTCTCTTTTGTTTTAAAAATTTCTTTTTGCTCAGGTGTTCAGTCTTTGGTATTTTCAGCCTCCGTTAACTTGAACCAATTTCAAATGTGAATTAAGTTTAAGCCTCTAACAATTTTTTTATCATTTTCTTTCAAATTTAACAGCTTAAGTCTTTGGTATTTTCAGCCTCCGTTAACTTGAACCAATTTCAAATGTGAATTAAGTTTAAGAGTCTAATAATTTTTTTCTTTTTCTTTCAAATTTAACAGCTTAACTCTTTGGTATTTTCAGCCTCCGTTAACTTGGACCAATTTTACATGTGAATTAAGTTTAAGCGTCTAACAATTTTTTTCTTTTTCTTTCAAATTTAACAGCTTAAGTCTTTGACATTTTCAACCATAGAAATATTAACAATCAAATAACGTGTTAAAGTTATCGAAGCCTATTGCGAAAATGGACGTTCAAACAGAAATGCAATGAGAAGTTCCCACGTCGCATCATCTCTCGAAACAGCGAAGTCAATTGGACACCCCGACCGTGAGACTTGAGGCCTTTAGTTTTCTTCCTTTGCGGTCCTCAAAAGTAAAATTTATGTCAACAAGCCAACAATTCAACAGCTAAAGAATGAGATAATAAGGCACATATGTGAGATTGGTGAGATATAAAGAGTGTTCCAATAAGTTATTAACACTCAAACAACGTGTTAAAGTTATCGAAGCCTATTACGAAAATGGGCATTCAAACAGAAATGCATTTCGCGATTTTTTTGGCCAACATAATCGACCAACCGAGTATGCAATTGGAAACGGTGTAACGTTGTTTTAGAGAGGTTCAATTCCTACGCGCGATGACAAATATAGGTGTCTGGATTATCGGCCATATTCTCGTGCATTGCACCAATGTTTACTGCTGAACGGCGTAAAAAAGCACGCAGTGATGTTTTCACATGTGCTACCGACCCAGTTTGTTTGAATTTACCAACAGATTTTCCAATTGCATTCTTGAAACTTTAACCTGTTGTTTAATTGTTAATCTTTCCATGGTTCAAATTGCCAAAGCTTAAGTTGTTAAATCTGAAAGAAAAAGAAAAAATTATTAGACGCTTAAACATAATTCACATTTAAAATCGGTTCAAGTTATTGGAACAACCTTTAGAACCACATCTCAAGTGCTTCAAATCTCCTCTTCATTTGGAAGAATGTTGTCCAGCATTCATTGCCATTGAAGAAGACTGATTATTACATAGTCGTTTAGCTTTTTTTTCTTTGCTTCTAAAGAAATTTTTGTCTCTCTTAATAATTTGCTTAGTTTCTAGATAATAAAATTTTCCAGCAAATAAATGAAATTTATTTGTATGACTTATGAATGTAATCCATAATCGTGTCGTGTAAACTCGTGTGCGTCTTTTAGGTTATAAATGGTAGTATTCGTCATTACTGACGTTGTTCATAAGTATTTATTACGAATTCAATTGATGCTGAAAATGGAAAAAAGATTGCTTTCTCTCGGTGGATTTGATAAATGCCAACAAAAATGATTTTCTAATTTTCTAAGGTACTTGACAAAAAAAAAAAAATGCTGGAATTGCGAGAAAAACCTTGATATATTTAGAATAATCCAGGAACTATACTGATAGCAAACCATTTTAAATATAAAAGTGGACATTGAAGTCAACACCCAGA